AAAAGCTTTAACCTAAACCCACAGTCAGCATTGCTATTTCTTAGATGTGAACATATTTTAAGACAGATGTATAAATAAATAAATGCAGGTAATTCCAAAGGGTTCTTGCCTCTGCACACTAAATGTTAACTGAAGTACATGACTTGCATTCATCAACACAGTTTCATTGACATCAACATGAATTATCGTCCCTGATGATAATTGATTTATTTTCCTAATGTAAACCCCAAACAGTTATTTTTAGAACTTCAGTGGTAGTTAAAGTAAAGAAATATTCAAAGATATTTACAAATTTGATTTTAAGAAAGATTTTGTTGCTTGCAGAATCTTAAAAGGCCGGTACAGTAAACAGCAGTCAGTGTAATGACAAACCCAAACTAGAACTAGGTTATAGAGAGTGGGTTCCTTCAAAATAAATGTGAAAACAATAATTACTTTTTCTTGCACATTGCAATATGCCCAGGGCTATTGCATCAATTTCCAATGGCAATCGCAACCCACATCTGTCATAGTTTCATTTCACTGAAACACACTGATGGTATTCATGGTAAAGAAGGGTTTTCCCACCTCTGTGATCTCTTACTGTCTGCAGCTTAGGAAATGAGAAACATACTTACAGACTGGGGGAGGATTAAATCTTGTGTCTTCTGTTTGTCAAAGCATGTCCTTCCTGTAATTATCTGAAAGTGCGTACACAAACACAGTGTGGCATTTTTCATCGCAATAAGAGGAGGTTTCCTTGAACTCCTCCGCTCGCTGTTGGTAGAGTCAATAAACCTTCTGATGCGTGGTTGTCGGTGAGCTTTCAGTATCTGTCATAGCAAAGTATTGCACGTCACCTTCAAACAGTAGAGGTCATCGCATCCCTGATAAGTACTTGTTGATTAGTTTTGTGTTTAGTCTGGCAGTAAGTTGGTGTTCCTGTAAACTCACCCAAGCATCTGCATGTGTTAGGGGTTGTACAGCTTCCCACACACCCAACAAGCCCAGTGAGGGTGCTTTTGACTGTCAAGGTCTTAGTCATCATATTAAGCATGAAAACAAAGCTGTTCTCAGACAAGCACTGAACTCTGGACGTTTTCCTGAAGGGGCCGTATGTGAGAACGCAAATGTCCGAGTCAGTCAAGTTCCTCTTTTATCGCTGGTTGCAGTTGCTCCCACCTCCAACCCCCCCGGTTTGACAACCTCTCTCTCTCTCTCTCTCTCTGACCCCCTCGCTCCTGCTCCTCTGGACAAACACATTTGTTTTGTCTGTTTGTGAACGGCAACAGAAACACACACTTTCCAAGAGGTGCAGATAGGAAGGAGGCCTTTGCGGTTTGATCAGGGTCAGTATGGCTGTTCGCAAACACACACCTGTGCGACAAGCCAGGTGTTATCGCCTGCCACGTGCCTCATGTTGTTGCTCAGTGTTCACAGCAAGCAGTCGTCACTGAAGGCAGTTTTCTTCAACTGCTGCAATCATCTGGTTTTAAAAAGACAGTGGATTTTTGTGGCAGATACTGACCCTGATTTAAATTGGCAATAATCCCTAAGATGTTGTTATCCCTTACAACAAAGAAATGTACTTGAGGGTTGACATTTTACAGGAAGAAAGAAAAATCAAATCCAACCAAATATGTAGAGCTTGAATCCATAAAAATATATTTTTAAATATATTATTAACATAAATGCACATCTTTCCTGCATGTTTAAATCTGTAAAATAAAAGTTTTCATATCTGCACATTTCAGCAAACATTAACAAAGAAACTGATAAGACCGTGAAAGGCTCGTATTGGTCGGGCTCTTCTGAATCACGCCCACCACTGCAAAGGGAACCTGAACATATCAACATCACAGTATCTCAAACTTTCCTGCAAGAGCCACAATCTGCCAGATCTACAAGAGTCACAGGAAGCCAAAGAATGCAGAGGCCGCCCAGCCTAATATCATGGTGACGGTGTTTTGATCAAACCCACACAACTTTGTTATTGGTTGTTTTGATGCTTGTGTGCATCTTGTCACGTTGCCAGCATCCAAACAGAAATCACGTCTGCGGGTTGGCGGTTACTTTGTGCTATCAAGCGCTTCGATGGAGGTCTGGCCTTGGAGATTGTGGTGGGTCAGGAATACTTTGTTTGAATTTAAAAATCAGGGAGCATCTGCGCTCTTGTTTGCACAAATTGCCAAAAGTATAGCAACTGTCCGTGTGTAATGTGGGAAATATAAGCTCATTATTTCAGTGTGTGTTTGCAATACCACTGCTACTAATTACTGCCTGTCTCCTTGTGTGGGTTCCATACCAAAATAATGAAAACAAGTGGTTGTGTGTGTGTCTGCACAAGGGGGTGGAATACCAAAACTTAACCCTGTGTGGTGTTTTCTTTTTCCCTCACCCTGCCATTTCTCCTGTAACTCCAGGAGAAAGAAGCAGGATGCTCCGCTGTGTGTTTCTCTGCCCATGGTGGCTCCCTGACTCACGCTGGATGGAAGCCAGTGCAGAGAGGCAGATGAAAGTCAGAAAACCTAACCCACTCTCTAATCCTGCCACTCCCTGCTTTTCCCCTCCTACTCGCTGACTTCACCGGGACCATCACACATTTAAAATGTTCTCTCAGTAACGGAAGACGCTGTTGACGTTTAAATTCAGGACTTATTGAGACCTGAAATTGCCTGAATTAGGAACTGGGACGAGTCACACCTCATGGTAGGCGACCTCATTTGTGTCGCCATAGTTGTCTTACTTAACGTCATTCTTGTGTATGTGAAATTGGACTTCCCTCGTAATTTTCACAAAGGGCCCCCAAGGGAATTACCAATACAAAACTTAGCGTGCACATAGTTTTCTATGAGAGTGACAGCAGTGGTAGAAATTCAAGACTTTTCTCCGCCTTCCTTTTTTAAATTTATTTTTATTTTTTTTATAATTTTCTCCCAGCAGACTGTTTCAAACACAAGAGCTACACCCTCCATCAACCCTGTTAGACTCCACAGCCCATCAGAGGAGACGCAGAATAAAGGGACCAGACCAGAAAACACACATTTCCAAAGCGTCCTGACTGTAAACAAACAGTCAGGGTTTGCTCATGTTGTCTGCCGTTACCTCACAAAAGGTTTCTGTTCCGTCGTAGGGAGGATTTTTTTGAACTTCCCTTCTGCGGGGCTCTCAACCCTCACATCACCCACACATGTGAGGCTGTGAGTCAAATCGGTGATGAATCACACTCAAACCACGACTCTCATTTATCGGTGACACATCTGGGGCAGTTTTCTTTTTTGGTTGAGACTGGAGCGGACCGGACAACAGAACAAGATGGTTGAATAATAGTGAAAACAATTAAATAAAGCCACGGGGTGTAGAGGGAGGGGGGGGAGGAAGCAACATTTGCCAGGAAAATTGATGAGTCTCATCTGAGTTTTTGTCTAAAGTTGGCGGCTCTTGCATAAGAATGGCAAAACACATGATAGCATCATGATTTTTAATCCAGACATTATATTGGCAGGTCAGCAAAGAGATTTGTTCTCTCAAGTCTGATGTGGAGGACAAGCCTCAGCAGACCCAAAATAACACTGACATGAGTGTTTCCCATGAGGTTTAAGAGAACTCATTTGTTTCTGGATCAAAGTGACTCATGGTTTTTTTGTTTGTTTGTGTGTACATATGCAGAAATACCATTTTTAGAAGTGTGGGTCACGTAAAAGCATGTGAAACACACACAAAGCAAATATCAGCAGTCATGAAACTGTCTTATATATATTTTGTCCTCTTGTTTACCTAAATAAACCAAAATGAGAAATCCACAGTTTTATTCTAGTTAACGGTACGTTTCATTTTGTCTTCTTTTTGCGTCATATCCGCTTTACTCGTTGCTTTGTCCGTCTCTGATATAACTTCTGGGGCGAATGAGGCACGAAGGACGTCTCTTGTAAAAGACGATGATAATTCATTGCTGCCTCTGTAAGTAAAACTTTACATCATCTGTGAACATGATTTGCACCTGAGTAGGTGGTGGTGAACACAACTCCCATGATCCCAAGCTCCTTCACAGCTTCATCAAACCCAGTCTTTTGTTGTTGTTTTGATTGAGAGACCCTCAGCGGCTGAAGTTATATATTGGCGGTTTAATGCTCTGTCTCTGTCTATTGTAGAACACAGGAAGAGAAAGTGTATTTTATTATGAATAACTGACATTTAAGTCAAATCTTCAGTCCCGTCATAAGTTCAGTAACAGTAAGAAGTAAAAGTATACGTAATGTGAGTCATTTTTGCGTTAGTCATCTATAAGAACCTGCTTTTTTTTTGTTTCCTCTGCAGTGAAATTAAGCAGCTTCAGAGGAAAACCCGGTGGAACGTCACAATATTAAGTGGTTTCTTTTTCCAAATGCGACAGCGAAGATGTCATCATCATTTCAATTCCATTTGCCGATCCACACACTTCCTGTTGCACTTATGTGGTTAATGAACCTGTGTTTCGTGTGTGTATTTCCAGAATACACAGTGTGTCGGCCAGTGTGTAACTTTAGAGTTGGTGCACGTTGAAATGCTCATGCACGTGGTTACAGTGCTGGGTGCAGTGATGTTTTTCCTCTTCGGCGTGTTAATTGTGAAACCAACTTTATTCCCCTCACACTTTCAAGTTATCTCTGTACTTTTCTCTGTTTATCAGATCGAATTCAAACTGCACATTGCATCGAGGTGTGAGAGTTGTTTGATGGTGTGGTGTGTGTGTGTGTGTGTGTTTGCTTTTAAATGTTTAAAATGTCCAAGTCAAACATGCTCAAACGTGCTTGCTCTTGGTGTTTCCCCTATACGTATCTTATCTTGACATTTGGAATTCCACTGGTTGTTTTTTCCCCCCACCATCAGCCACTCGTGTATACTTTACTGTATCTTTGATAAACCGATATCTGTCAGTAATATCAGTCTAGCACAACATGATTTATTTGCACATCTTCACCCTGAATGACCTGAACAAGTTTTTAAAAATTCATACTTCTTCCCCCTTGTTTTTGTCTCAGGAGCCGTTGGGGCCCAGTCCCTGTTCTCCATGCCTCGGCGGCCTGGCTATGGCACCATGGGGAAGCCCATCAAGCTGCTGGCCAACTGCTTCCAGGTGGAGATCCCCAAGATGGATGTTTACCTCTACGAGGTGGACATCAAGCCTGACAAGTGTCCACGGCGAGTCAACAGGTACGGTGGATCTTATCTTTAAAACGTCTCCTGTATCTTTAATCTTCTAACATTTAGAAATGTGCACTAAGCTAATATCTAATTTAGAGCATCTTACAAAGAGTGAGATCCCAAGTTTGCTGTGTTTTGCTGAGGGATAAATGACGGTTGACGGGCACATGAGATATATTTGGGGTTTTAATCCGTGACTTCTGGTTCACAGATGATTCTAATGTCAGTACTTTACCAGGCACAGTTGAACTGAAAGTCTGTCTGTGTTGTACAGGGAGGTGGTCGACTCGATGGTGCAGCACTTCAAGGTGACAATCTTTGGGGATCGCAGGCCAGTGTACGATGGAAAGAGGAGCCTGTACACAGCCAACCCTCTACCTGTGGCACCTGCAGGGGTGAGCTGGAAACAAGATCTCACAAGTGCAAACACACAATCATAACCTGCACATAGCCTGCGCAGACACACATGCACTTACAGAAGAAAGTACACAAATGCATCAGACCTTAACAGCCACCACAAACTTCTTTAAAGCTCTTTTTAGGCATGAAGGCGTTCTTCATAGAATCTCGTCTTTTAAAGTTAATATCTTCTTTGTGTATTGCATATCTTTTTCATCGGAGATAATTGTATTCTTCCAGTTTTGCGTCAGCTGCGAGTGAGAAATGGGCTGTGTTAAAACAGCCCATGTGATCTCATCCTCTCTGTCCTCCATTTTTCTTTTCCCCTCACAGGTGGACCTGGATGTCACTCTACCAGGAGAGGGAGGGAAAGATCGTCCCTTCAAAGTTTCCATCAAGTTCGTGTCTCTGGTCAGCTGGCACATGCTCCATGAGGTGCTGACTGGCCGCAGCATGCCTGAGCCTCTGGAGCTGGACAAACCCATCAGCACCAACCCTGTTCATGCAGTGGACGTGGTCCTGCGACACCTGCCATCCATGAAGTGAGCGGAAGTTTTCATGTGACATTATTTTCCATAAAGAGACACACTCACTCTCTTAATGATGCTTGGGCCTAAATAGAAAATGTAAATGTTTTAGAATGATCTTTAAAGAACTAATAATGTCAAACATACTTTGCTTTCCTCACCTCCCTCTTGAGTCAAACACATAGTAAAAAATTATCCCTCTATAACTTATAGCAAACACTATATATTTGTTTTGTCACCGTGGCATCAATATCAGCTCTATGATCCCAACGGAAATCAAACACAGCTTATATGAGCTCAGCTTCATACTTGACCTCGTACAATCTTTCACTCGATATCACTCTCCTAAGCCGCAGCCAGAGCAGCGTTAAACGCAATATCAGCAGCGCCTTAATGAAAACCTTTGTCAGAGCATTATTAGAAATTGTTATATCGACAGCTTTCGTTTAGCTCCGCTCTCGCAGGTGTCGGCCGCCCAGTGTTTCATTGGCATCTTGACACATTGACAATACAGGTGTTACCGAGAGAAATGTTGTTCCTGTGCAATTATTCACCCTGGGCAGAGTAATAAGAGGTTAATGGGTCCAGGCAGTGTCAACACCCTCTTATTTCACAAACGTATTTTCGGCCCACATTGAAGAGCCACTGAATCTGACACTGTTTAACACACATTGACTTATATTCTCAATTTAGGATGTGAAAGCTGGGAAATCTACAGGCTACAATTTCATGACTTAACTGACCGTTGAAATCTCACCCGAAGAAAAGATGTTGGGTCGTGTCTCTCTGACCGTTTTTCGTCCAGACTCGTTCAGCCTTCTGCTTTTGTTCATTAACATTGGAGCAACCACAGCACATCCATTTTGTTTACATCTGCTTCCCCATGAGGTCACATGACGAATGTGAGGGGGTTGCTGCCTCTGGAGCAATCGTCTTGATAAAAACCCTGTAATGTGTGATGTGCCAAATATTTTTGCCATTCGGACGTGTGAATATCTGCAAAGATTCTCCTGTGTGATGCAACCCGATTTCAAAATCGGTCTGGAATTTAAAACTCCTCAGTCCAGCTTGAGATCACATGTCCAGTCTTCTCCAGCGCCCTTTCCTATTTACCCCATTAACTCCTTCTCTTCTTTTTTCCCACTCCCTAGGATTGTTTACTGTATCTTTCATCTCTTTATTCTCTCAACACTTTTTTAATTATTGTCACTTTCCCATATCAAGGTATACTCCAGTGGGTCGATCCTTCTTCTCGGCTCCAGAGGGCTATGACCATCCCCTGGGAGGCGGGAGGGAGGTTTGGTTTGGCTTCCATCAATCTGTGCGGCCCGCCATGTGGAAGATGATGCTCAACATTGACGGTGAGAACCAATCGACATTGTTTGCCTCGCTCTGATTTTACTGTGATGTCTCCCAAGAGGTTCAATATGGCCTCACAGCTTTCAATCATATTAACGCAACAGTTGTTTTTTATTGCTCACTGCTGCAGACACAGTCAGATGTGGAGGATTCACAACGTTTTCTTCTGCGATTCAATCTTTGTTTAAAAATGAAACTCTTCTCTCGTACATTCACTCAGAAATTGTTTTCTCTGTTCCTCTGTTACAGATGGGAAAATTAGGTTTTAATAATTTAACACATTGATTAGAACGACATGGAGCCGCTGTGATACAAGCTATTTTTAGAGATTTGTTCATGATCAGTTTACTCTCATTGATGTTATGTTTAAGGAAATTTGATAGTTGGAATTTAACATAAATTTAATGTGAGCTACTATTTCTTTTGAGCTACAGAAGGTCGTCAGGTTTCTATTAATGGTTTTTAGTCATTATGGAGACTTCAGTTCTGTGCATGGGAACCAAATAGTTACTTTTTCAACAGCACATTTCTCATAAGCTCAGATATTTATTTGCTTTTTTATCGCAGGTTCTTTTATTTGTAGACCCGCAGATTCAGTTAGTCAGTATGGATCCAGTTCCTCTGGCTGAGAAACAGCTTTTCGGATACAAATTTAATGTTTCAAGATCTATTTTGGTAATTGGCTCTGACTCTGGCCCCTTGTCAGCGAAAAAAAAAAAGAAAAAATCTGTTTGATGACCTGGAATAGGGAGCTTCAATTTCAATCTGTTATTATTTGTGAAAAAAAATTGTAACAGGAAGGGTGGTGCAGAGATTTCTTTCTCCATATGCACACTGCAGGAGGTGGTTGGAGGCTCTGCTGTGCGTGTGTGTTTGTGTGAGATTGATAGAGGAGCTTGGAGGAACTTGGGTTCTTAGCTGGATGGGAACTGACTGGTTGGTTGCTGTGGAGACGGAGGGCAGCTTGTGTGTGTGTGTGCATGTGTGTGCGTGTGTAGTTGTGTGGTAGTAGTTGTGCCTACATGAGTTAGACTGGTGGGTGTTGCTCGGGTCAGGAGGGCAGATGTGTGGAGCATTTCCTTCAGACTGCTTTTGTTTTGCTCCAAGTGCTTGAAGCCTCTCTATTTAAATCTTTCCCTCTCATTCTCTCTTTGTCTCACTTTCCCGCCTTCTCATCCTTGGAAATCAATTAGTCACCACCAGTCTGCTCTCCAGCAGCAAACCAGAGCGGCAACTTTCTGCAATGCACTTGTTTTCTAACTCTTCAGCATGGCATCATGTAGGGCTGAAGGGATAGCTAACATTTCATATCCCAAATATTATATTATATATATTATATTTCCACATTATCCATATTATTAGAAAGAATATTACTACCTTTACTTATTACTCACTAGTACATATTGTTGCTTTACTACCATGGCTTGTTTTGTGAAACCTGTTCTCTGCCATGTAAAGTGGGGCCATGTCTTCACGATGGTATCTGTTCTCTTTTTACATCTTCGATTGTTTCAAGTAAAAGTCTGAGTTTCGGGTTTTCTTATGAGCTCTCACCTTAACTTCCTCCACACATCTCATCCATGTGCATTTGCTCCACAGTTTGTGATTTTACCAGCAGTCAATGTTTCTCCTATTATTAAAAAATAATAAAAGTAGGGAATATCCAGTGTACTTGATATTAATTGTATATATTTAGGACTTAAACTTGCAAGTTACAACTTGATGTTGGTTGGTTGTGGATCCAGTGCATCATTGATTTAGTTTTTTAACATATAAAGAGTTGTATAAACCATCGGACTGTGCCTGCATACTTTTAGGTAATAGGACTAATGAAGTATATATATATGTAAACATACAACGGCCTCCAAACTCAGTAACAAGTCCATGTCAAGTGAGATGTACTGGTCAATATTGCATCTCAAAAACTCAAGCAACTTTCCGGACAACAGATTGTTTGCACGTGTCATTAAGAAGCTGTGCGTGACTCAGGATCCAATCTGCCAGCCACTCTACATACTCTACAGCCTCTCATTCCTCATTCCAGAGCAACAGACCATATGTGTCTTTTCATTCTCACTCAGGTTTAAAATCTATCACTTGCAGAACCCCTATTAAACCCCAAGATTCATCAGATGGCATTTTTGCCGTGGTACTGCCCTCTAGTGAGTGAACAGATCACATTAAATTTAAAGTCAAGTATGATACTGAATATGAGCTATTTTAAATCTTAATAGAAAAACAGATATTAAAAAGGCACATCTCTGTCAATCAATATTATTTCATAACCTTAGTTCATACAAGGACAGCACATTCTGCCACCACGATGCAGGCGCAGTTAGAGTGATGAAACTGTTACGTCGACTCCTAATTGGTCTATTGGAATCATCAGGACCCTTCACAGTCTGAGTTTAATGCTAAACACAATGACCAGTAAACTTTGTAAAGCTGTTTAAATGTTTTGCTGTGATGTAACAAGTGATGTAACATTGTTGAATCACAAAACATAGTTGTTGCTCTCCACTGTTTTGTTTTATTTTTGCCTTAAATGACTCTTGTCCTTGTTCTACGTTGCAGTTTCTGCCACTGCATTCTACAAGGCCCAGCCTGTCATCCAGTTCATGTGTGAAGTGCTGGACATCCACAACATAGACGAGCAGCCCCGCCCTCTCACGGACTCGCACCGCGTCAAATTCACCAAAGAAATCAAAGGTGAAGCCATGTGTTTGCTGCATGTGAGGAAGGAGATTGTTTTAAAGGAGCAAGGAAAGCAAATGCCAGCCACAAACAGAAACATGTCTAATGCTGCTCCAACACTTTGTATTATTCAACAGGTTTAAAGGTGGAGGTGACACATTGTGGAACCATGCGGAGGAAGTACCGCGTCTGCAACGTGACCCGTCGGCCTGCGAGCCATCAAACGTGAGTCAGCCGTCTGGGTGGGAGAGGGAACAGGAGACTTTGGGAGGAGTGTGTGTGGATAGGTTGAGGGTGGTGGCAGTGGACATGAACCACAGAACATGTGATCACCAGTTCTGTACCCCCCCCCCAAAAAAAAGAAGATAATGGCTGAGTCATCTGACAAGCATGCATTCAACATGAGTCATTAGGGAAGTAGCTGTGTCGCATTCAAAGTTGAATAGGTCACTTCGTGTACTCCCTCAAATTACTTTCATGACATTAAAAGGAATGATTCATATCTATGGCAATGTTCTGTGTGTATATATGATGTTGGGATAATATGGAAAAATGAATTTGATGATATATAGATAATGATTGTGAACTGCTATAAAGCTAGGTGGGCTCTTTTATCTCTGCAGGTTCCCTCTGCAGTTGGAAAACGGTCAGACTGTGGAGCGCACTGTAGCCCAGTACTTCAGAGAGAAGTACAACCTGCAGCTCAAGTACCCACATTTACCCTGTCTACAAGTGGGCCAGGAGCAAAAGCACACCTACCTGCCCCTGGAGGTGAGAGAGAAGTTTGTTGTCCTTGTTACGGAGTCTTTTATTAAACATAACTCAGAATATGATGAAATCTGCAGTATCCGTGGGAAGCTCCCAGGTGTGTCAACTGTATAAATATGAAGCAGATCCACTGCAGAAAAATACTTCTCTTACTGGTTAAATAAGAATGAAATCTTTTTATAATAAATGTGTCATGCATTGTTTCAACATTTGCCTTTGTTTCCATGCAGGTGTGTAACATTGTAGCAGGTCAACGATGCATCAAGAAGCTGACGGATAATCAGACCTCCACGATGATCAAAGCCACAGCTCGCTCCGCACCCGACAGACAAGAGGAGATCAGCAGGCTGGTGAGTTGTGGAGAAACCTGCTGAATCCAGGTGTCTTCTGTCAAAGACAAAACATTTTAATAACAAAAAGGACATTAAGTAATATATCGGTAACAGTACATGACAGATCTGTTATTTCCTCATAATTTCATTAAAGTTTCCCAGGAACAATCTTCTAGTTACTTATCACAGGAAACATTTAGTTTAATTTATCAGTGTCTTGCAGATCAATCTCTTTAAAACAAACTTAATTTATTCAGAATTTGTTTTGTTTTTATGTTTGTAGACACATTTCACATATTTTCAAATTTAACTTACCTGCCCTCCTTTGAATAAAAGTCTCAAGATGATGCTAATTTAGCATTTATAAATAACTGTAAGAGAACCAACTGATCGCTCTCTGTGTTACCTGTAATTGGTACCAAAGTGTTTGTTGTTGTTGTTGTTTCCAGGAACAGTCTTATTAGATTATTTGGAAAGAAATTCGAATTTACAATTTTTTTTTTTTACATAAATGTTAAAATATGCAGAAAACACAAAAGATACTTTTTTTCCATCACATAATATTTCCATTGAAATATATCTATGAAGAATCATTTCATTCACAAGCATGGACCATCATTCAGATGGTGATTATAGAGGTTATAAGGTCATGGTCTGCCAGTCTAGTGAAGGAGGCAGGTGTGGATACCACCCGAGACAAAATGCTGCCTGTGAGGCTAAATTCAGATTCAATATTTCATGACAGTAACATCCTGGATTTTCCGTAAAGAATATTTTAATGTTACATTTGTACATCACGCCACAATGCCGTCATTATGAAACGACTGTGTTGCTAGGCTTGTCAACAGCTGGTTGCTGTGCTGCTCATCTTGATATCAAATTGCTTGTTGGGTAATCACCTCGCCCAGATTCTCATTTGGTATTGTTAACAGAAGCATGTCTGTGAGCTTGTTCATCACATTTGGCAGTTACATGGCAGGTCTACGCAGGGTCAATGAAAAAAATGCCAGATTCATAACGACCTCAATTTGTGCGAGGCTGCTGCAGAGCCTGCGGCGTGTTGCTCATGGAGAGATTGACAGGCTGTTCACTGGCTGCCTCTGGCCACCGTCAGATCAGCAGTGCACATGTGGTACCTGTTTAACCGCATTAAACCACATCTCCCTATCTCCTCACCCAGGAGTAAAATGACTGGACTCGCTCACAGGAAATCATCGCAGACATCACTGTGCTGGTGTTTTCATTTAGAAGCTGTCAGAGGCGTGTGGGTGGAGGAGCAGAGGCTGAGAGGCAGTAAAGGACAGAACAAGCAGATGAGCAGTGTCTATCAGGAAGACATAATGAAGTCTGTAGTGTGTTTGCTTTTGGATGAGGGTGAAGACACCTGACAGTCTGTTGCATGTCACCAATCATTTTTCCATAATCCACGGCCACTCTAGAAAAATTATACACAACAAACAGTTTACTGCAAAATACAAATCTGTTGCACAATTCACAAATTACTACCCGACTTCTTATCCAAGTCTCAACAAGAAAGCAAATAGGCTTAATGTCAAACTAGTCCTGTGACCAAACAGATTAGATAAAAGAAGTTGAAAGCGTGTCTGTCTTCTCTAACCTTTCAACACTGCATTCATCTTTACTCCTTCTGTAATTAGCTACTTGCCTGACGCTGTGTTCATTTTTCCCGCTCCCCTTGCAGGTGCGCAGTGCCAACTACGAGGCCGACCCCTTCGTGCAGGAGTTCCAGTTCAAAGTGCGCGACGAGATGGCCCACGTGACGGGGCGAGTGCTACCCGCCCCCATGCTGCAATACGGCGGCAGGGTGAGCACAGAGCACTTTATGGTACCCTTCTTTTAAATCACGCCCATTCTCTCTGTTTGTCTGACACGCTCTCCCCTTCCTCCGCCTTCACTCCGCATGTCTCTGAGGGGAACTAACTCACTGGCTTCTGTTTGACCTTCATGGTGTCAGTCCTTTTTGGCTTGAGTTTTTTTTTTTTTTGTGGTTGAGTCTCCATAGTGCAAACTTTGATTCCACCTTAAAAACAAATAGAACAGGGCAGGGAATGGCTGGTCCGTCTGTCACTGGTATATTTGAACAAAATGAAACGACCTAAATCGTGATTGGACAGTTTCTTTTCAGTTGATCATTATGTCAGATACAACCAGAAACTTTTCCAGCAATTGCTTAATGTTAATCCTTCTTATTGACCTTAATGAGGTGGATTTAAGAGGTTTCCAATCGAAGCAGATTATTGAGACTGAGCCACATTGTTAATTAACATCTGTTTATCTGAGTACGCACACTTTTGTTATTATTGTACATTTCATGTTTTACAGATACGACACAACACCGAGCATGACACACATCTGACACACTCTAGATTCCATCTCATAGTGCATCACACTGTGCATCACAGTTTGTCATATTTTCTCATTTGTCTTTAAAGTTAAATTTACTTTTTTGTGATTCAATGTTTTTTTAAATTTTTTTTTGTGTGTTATGTGTTCATAAAATTTAAAGTTAATATGTTTTGGTGTGGATGAAGAGTGCGGGTGGTTCCGGTGTTGTTTCAGAGTATAAGAGTGTATGTTAGTGCGTGTTTCTGTTTCTGTGAGCAGTATGAATGTGTTTGCCCACAAAATTGTGAGTATATGTGGTGAGACTGCGATGTTGTTTCAGAACCGCACCGTAGCCACGCCCAGCCACGGGGTGTGGGACATGAGGGGGAAGCAGTTCCACACCGGGGTGGAGATCAAGATGTGGGCCATCGCCTGCTTCGCCACACAGAGGCAGTGTCGGGAAGAAATCCTGAAGTATGATAATTTATTCATGCTTTTTAGATTCATGTTTAAACCACTGAACAGCTCTACCTCTCTCACTATAATAATGTTAAAGACTTGTGTATATCTGTCTCCATAAATTTTAATCTGGCGTGGATTAACCACTTCTGTTTTAAGTAAATACAAAAACCTTTTGCAGTTTGCAGATGATTATGCTGTTTTTACATAATCTTACTAGTTAACTAGTTAATATAAGAGCAACAATTCATGTATCAGATAAATATGTCAGTTAGACAAAAATATATTTTTCCATCTGTATTCTGGTCAGATTTTGAAAAATTTACTTTAATGCCTCGTGTTTAAATCCAACTGTGACTTTAACTGTAATTTAAATTTTAAGACATCCCAACTCCTTCTTAACGTATGTGAATTGATGTCGATATGGATGTAAACACACCAAATGCTAAACCACATTACTACAGGCATGGATGCAGAAAAAGTAAAACATTTGGCCAGTTAATGTGGAAAATGGGTAAATAGATGGATTTAAAATGGAAAATGATTATTTAAGCAGATGGAGTATTCATGCTGTTTGCTCATTTTGCTCTCTTCCAAGCTAGACTCCAGAGACCAGCACCATTCTCACGACTGTTTACACTGTGCCTTTCCCTCCTCGTTCAGGGGTTTCACGGACCAGCTACGTAAAATCTCTAAGGATGCGGGGATGCCAATCCAAGGTCAGCCATGTTTCTGTAAATACGCCCAGGGAGCGGACAGCGTGGAGCCCATGTTCAGACACCTGAAGAACACGTACGCCGGGTTGCAGCTCATCATCGTCATTCTGCCGGGAAAGACTCCTGTCTACGGTGAGAAAACTGCTTGGAAATAAATGTAATAATAAAGTAGAGATATATGTGTTCGACTTTAAGACTGTGGAAACACTTACTCTGTTCCTGGACTGAATGTTAGAGTAATTCTCTCTTGCTCAGCTTCCCACTTGCACTATATGTCAATAAGAGATTGAATACACTGAATTGAAAAATATTCTCTCTATGTAATAATATTCATTGCCTTATATATTATTAATGTTTATGTTTTTCCACAGTGTGAGAGCTTGTTTTCTCTCAAGTCTTTAAATGTGCTTGTATGACTGCTCTCGTCATTTATACATAACAATACATTTGAGTTTTTCAAATTTTGACATTCCTTTCTTTTAACATCCATAGCGGAGGTGAAGCGTGTGGGAGACACCCTCCTTGGCATGGCCACACAGTGTGTTCAGGTGAAGAACGTGGTGAAGACGTCCCCTCAGACCCTCTCCAACCTCTGCCTCAAGATCAACGTGAAGCTGGGAGGCATCAACAACATCCTGGTGCCTCATCAACGGTCAGTGGTCCTCTCTCCCTCCACATTAATGTTTTAGTAATTCTTGTTTAAACTGGCTTCAAACAGCTTAACTTAAGAATTCTCACTTTTTGTGTCAGTATATAAATGTCTGTCACATACGTGAGAATTTGTCCTGATGATATTTGACAGATGCCACAGTAGCATGCTGCCACACAACATATTATTTGTATGTTCAGTATAATTCATGGTTTTGTTTCTCACTCAACAGACCGTCAGTGTTTCAGCAGCCAGTTATCTTCTTGGGAGCAGATGTCACACATCCACCTGCGGGAGACGGGAAGAAGCCTTCAATAGCAGCAGTACGTTTTTTTTTTCTTTTCATTATCTACCTGACATTCTCTCTTGATTTGCATTTTTATCTGCGTTCCCTTCTCCTGCGCTCCTCCTTCCTCCCGTCCCGTCCTCTTCCACTGCCACCCCTCACTCACGCTCCTCCCCTCTCTCTCTCCTCCAGGTGGTCGGCAGTATGGACGCCCACCCCAGCAGGTACTGTGCCACTGTACGGGTCCAGAGGCCCAGGCAAGAGGTCATCCAGGACCTGGCCTCCATGGTGCGGGAGCTGCTCATCCAGTTCTACAAGTCAACTCGCTACAAGCCCACCAGGATCATTTTCTACAGGGACGGAGTTTCAGAAGGCCAGTTCAGACAGGTCAGCGCCTACGTCTTTACTTCTTTCACAAACTGTTTGTAGTCAGAGGTTGGTGCTGTTTAACAGACATGAGCTCCTGTGAGCTGAACTGTAGTTTGCGTTTGCTCAGCTTGTTTCTCTGAAAAAATCCAGACGTCCAATAAATAATAAAACCATTAATTTGATTAAATATATATAATTAAAAATGACCAAGATCTACTTAAAAAAAATTTAAATTAAAGAGGATATGACTCCATTGGCCTGTGAATCAAATGAAAGATTTCTCAAAATATTAATTCAGAAAAAGTACATAATATACCTTCAATAGTTTTAGAATGGCATCATTCTCAAGTTTGTGGTAAAGATCTATCATCCATGAATGATAAAACAACATTGAAACATGTAAATAAAGTATATAGTGTACAGTTTATGGAGTACATTATCATTCCACAGATTATCACAGATTATTACAATCAAAACTATAAATATTCTTATATTCTTCTTAGTATAATTACACATTTCATTAATATTAGATGTTGATTTTTGTTCTGGCTTCCACAGGTGCTGTATTATGAGCTGCTGGCCATTCGTGAGGCCTGTATCAGCCTGGAGAAGGAGTACCAGCCAGGCATCACCTACATTGTTGTACAAAAACGCCACCATACACGCCTCTTCTGTGCCGACCGCAACGAAAGAGTGAGTCCCAACCAACACACACAAACGCACAGCGATGCCTCCCATTAAAGCCAGTACAGAAAGTTATGTATTTGTCCATATCCTTTTTTCTCTCCATGTTCTGCCAGCACGTTAACTACTGGAAATAGGCCTCCTTAATTACCTTTTGTTGTCAATTGGACTGGACTATTCGCCCTCCTAACTACTATAATTACATTCGATTAAAGCATTAGCGAGCCCAGTGCAAACCGAGAGCTCTGGAGTGGCACTCAAGGCCCCAAGAGTAAGACTTATCCAGTAACAACCTTATTTTCAGAGCATGCACTCTCATACAGAGAATTAGCCTCTCTGGGCTATTAAGCTTTAATTGGTTGGTTGGAAGCACTTGGTAAACCTTCGCCTGGGTCGGTCCATCAACTAGTTCTTTTTTTTTACTGCTATAAAAGCTTTGTTCTCTGTTGTTCATTTCCTGCTTCTTCCACTTTCTGTTCCAGTGGTTTCTGTTTAAATGGAAACGTAGGAAATTAAAAACGGTCAAATTGCATTAGTAGAGACTAACTGAGGTTAATTTGTTGTTGTCAGGTTGGACGTAGTGGAAACATTCCCGCTGGTACTACCGTGGATACGGACATCACCCATCCCTACGAGTTTGACTTTTACCTCTGCAGTCACGCTGGAATACAGGTCAGACCAACGTCCTCTCCTCTCTGCTCTGACTGTGTTTATCACACTCTCCTCCATGAAAATCTTAACGTCTGAACACTCTGCATCATTTGAAATAGTTAGAGGAGAGAGGAAATACCTTATTCTCTATTTCTCCTCTTCTCATAAATATCTTAGGTTAGATCCTGGAGAGCTCTTTGTGAGGTCTGTGAACCAAATCTGGTCATTTCCTTAAGAAGGCTTTTATTTTTAGTACAGCTAAAAATGTTTTTTAGATCATGGGAAAGTTGGATGTAATCTTGTCGCGCTCATATGGAGATCACCCTCATCTCTGCAAAGACTGTGTGAAACATCTCACGACCCAGATGGACAGAATCTTGCAAATTGCATTAAAAAAAAATAATTCCGGCCGAAACTATATTCCTAGAAGTTCTGGATCTTGAATCTGGGTCTAATATTGATCTAATATACTCACTTAATTGTCGTCCTCCAGGGCACCAGTCGGCCCTCCCACTACCATGTACTGTGGGATGACAATTGTTTTACCGCTGATGAGTTCCAGCTGCTCACATACCAGTTGTGCCACACCTACGTGCGCTGTACCCGCTCAGTCTCCATCCCTGCGCCAGCCTATTACGCCCACCTGGTGGCCTTCCGTGCCCGCTACCATCTGGTGGACAAAGAACATGACAGGTGAGGAAGCAGATAGGAGGACAGGGTCTTCTCTCTGGATGAAAAGGTCCTGTCCTCCTGTGTGTGTGTTTTGATTGCAGTTGTATATCATATCAGCAGATTTTTCTCGCATACGTGCCATTGTAGTTTGTCGTCCATCATAACTGGTTCCCTCCTGTCCCCTCCGCAGCGCTGAGGGCAGCCACGTGTCTGGTCAGAGTAACGGTCGGGACCCACAGGCGCTGGCCAAAGCAGTTCAGATTCACCACGACACCCTGAGGACCATGTACTTCGCCTGAGCTACCACCAACCCTCCCCAGTCATTGCCACCCTTCTCACACACATACACACACACACACACACACACACACACACACACACACAGACGCATCCGTGCACGCCTGGCATGCCAGTCAAGGAGTCCTCATAGGTGCGAGTCCCACCCAACACACGCCTAGTCAATCCGGACCTGACACTGTGCAGAGGAGAGCAGGGAGGAGGGAGGGGAGGAGGCACACCCACACTGGACTGAGGATGCAAACGTGGCTTTAAAAACAAACAAGAGAGAAACTCAGCACTATTATGCAATATTAAACCAGCCAACCAGTTTATTTTCACCCTCATCAGGCCCCTTTTCATCGCCCCCTTCCCTCTGTTCTCCCTGTTCGTCTCCTTTACTCGTGGCCTAGTGGGTGTGTTTCTTGTTTGTACCTTTCCCCTCCTTTCGCACAGTCTCTCTTTATGACCTACTAATCTGCTCCTTTGCCATTTATAGTACCTCAATTCAGTTTGAGCAGCAGCACTTTTACATTCTGTCAGTTCCACTGCAGTTTGTTGTTAATTCTCCCCAGTGTTTGATAAGAGGGAGCAGAGAAGGAGGCGTCAGACTCTGGAGTTGTTCAATCGTGTTTTTGATTTCTTTTGGAATTTAGCTAATTCATTTGGCCGGAGGTCCTGCCAGTTGCCACTTTTATTATTTTTTTTCCTCTTGTTTCCTCTTTTCTGTCACTTTTCACTAGTGTGTGAATTCACCAGTTACGTGTATGGAGCACCATGTTCTTTTGAGCACACTGCCACCTGTTGGCGACGAGGTATAATTGCCCCCTTAAAGTTTTATCATGTAGTTGTAACGTTTTAGATCAGTTTTGTCTTTAACAGTCAGATGTCACATTTAAACGGGGGCAGTTTATATTGGCTGATATATCAATTGCTTAATTGCAGCCATATATGGATTTTATTTAAAGTATAACACTGTTATTTCTCCTTCTACTTTATGGACATTATGTTTTTAATCATTTAAACATGTAATCCTATGTTTTTAATCTTTGTAGTCATGCATTCATTTCCCTCAGTGCTTTATCTCACGTTTCCCTCTCTTGAGTTTGAGATGGTGGTTAAATAGAGATCATGTCGATGGTTTCCTCCAGTGCAATAATCAGTTGAACGAAGGGAAGAGGATTTTAGGGGACGTACACGACTCAAAAGAACAGTCACACATTCTATTTGAAAGTGAGAGTCCTCGATAGATGAGATGTTTGCCACTTGCTAGAAACGTTGATGATTGATCAGCACGTTTTACGAGTTTGCCTTTTCTGCTGGGCAAAAAACCCTCAAACGGTTCAACTGCAGTTTGTGATTTTCATGTTTTTACTTGAATTGAAGGATTTTATGCGCCTCTGTGGTTTGAGATCATTTTTATCATCAATGGGCATAATTTCAGAATTCCTGATTATCAGTTTGCCAGTGAGGCTGATTTTCTTAATTCTTTTACAATTACCCATTTTTGGAGAACAAAGCTTTTCACCCGACAGCAGCAAAGAGTCTAAAGGCCATAAAGAGGTAGTATTCAAGTGCCTGGTGGAAGTTTAAGTGTTTGATGGTCAAAAGCTGTACAACCTATTATTATATGGATCCTGTTTTAGTGGGTAAAAGAATCAAATAGAAAGTTTCACCTGATGCCTCTTATTCTTCTCAACAACCGTCTACTGACTTTTCTATACATCTCATTCAAATCATCCTAAGATCTCTATATTTATTATGTTTGCCTGTTCAACAGTGTTCGCTGTTGGCTTTGCTTCCGAGCAGCGTTCAAGCAAAGCAGGCCGAGTTGTCTTTTGCTAAATATTCACCAGATATGGATCCAGCTGCTACAGTGTGGGCCGGGGTTCATGGACACGGAGTCGCCCTCTTAATAAACCGATTCTCTGTCAGAAAACCTCCAGATACAGAACGAGGTTCAACTCCTGTCCATGCAACCGGCCCAAAAGTTGAGACCGGCTTCGGAGCGGAGCCGAGGAGCCGAGTGGATGACCGACCTTTGCAGCAGAAGTAGAGCTGACCGATCCAAATCGTTTGTCTGGATCGCTGTCGCCACTTAGCTCCTCGGCCCCGCTGACGACCTGAAGCTCGTCCAGGGGGATGTTTTTAATCTGCACTAAAAGAAGCGTGTGTTTCGGGACTGAACACAGGCGTGGTGCTACTCATTCTGAATTAGAATCTGAAGCTGAACCTCTTTAGGAGACTGTACAGGAGCAGGTGGGAAGGGTAGAAAATGGTAAACCTCAGTCAGCGAAGGACAGGGGAAGGTCTCACTGCTGCGGACTTGGTTGTTGCGGTCAACGTTGAGAATCCGCAAATGGTACAATGACAGCCGTGCTCTTGGACAGTGAGGTATAATGTAGGGTCCTATATCCGCTGTTGCATTCGACTGCCTTTCGTAGGCGAGCCTTCTAGTGTGGAAGCCAGTGAGTTTGAGCCTTCATGATTTCACTAGTGTCTGAAAGCCTTTTTAAAAAGCCAGATCGAAAGTATATTTGTACATTTTAAATTATGTAATGCACACCACTTATTTTTGCTAACAGAAAAAAACAATGTAGTCTAATTATTAATCTTAGTAATAAATGTATCACAATACGTAATGGTTAAAAAAACGGTATAATAACAAAGATCTATCATTGCAATAGACTGTTGACTTGTTCCTGTGTCACTGTATAATGTATAGTGTATGTGTGAACAGTGGTGGGGTTGTTGAAACTAGTGATTTGTGTGTTTGGACTGTCAAACTGTTATCGATAGGGACGTGGACTTAAACCGCCTCTTGCTTTAATATTTGGTAAAAAAAAGCTGCAAGATGTCGAGCGCTTATTATTTTAGATGTTTGTACGGTGAAGGGTTTGTCGTAGAAGAAGTATACTGAACTCTGAAAGGCTTTTGTATTAAGACATCACATCTCTCGACAAACCGTAGAATAGAAGAAGAGTCGGTCGATTTCATGAACTTCTGCTCCTGAATGTTCTCTGCTTTTCTTCACCTGGTGCTGACGCCTGCTGCTTTATCAAGGGTGGAGAGAGGAGAAGGAAACAGGCGAGTGGTTTAGGAAGAGTCGCTGACCCATTTCAAGGACACGTGATCAGAAAACGGCGTAACGAGGGGCGGTGGTTCTCCAATCCTTCAGTGTTAAAGCCTCAAGGGGAGGATTTAAGTCGGAATTACAACCTCTTGTTGCTCTTCCACAGACTCCTCTCCTCGACCCGAGCCCCTTCATGTGCTCGCAAATACAAAGACGTGCTGGCCTCCCGGTAAATCTGTTGTGTGACAAAGCCTGTAATCTCATTGTCGTCTCTCCCCTTTGCTCCCCAACATTTACTCCCCTGTGCCAGAGGACTTCATTCCACGGTCGCACTTTCCCAGTCCGATCCCCCTGGGAGGCGTAAAGAAGAAAACAAAGATTGGAGCGGAAAGACGATGTAGTGGCTTCTGTGATTAATTCAAGTGTGTATGTGTTTGGGAGGAATCAAAGCCCAAGTCAGTGTTGGCTTTGTCAGTATGTGGCAGGTTGTGTTGGAAGTAGAACGAGTCTGAAGGTTGATTGAGAGTTGGAGTCCGTCTCGCCATCTCCGCTGTCAGTCATGGATGTTCGGTTTGCGTACGAACGACGCTCTTTGGGGTTGAACACATGTTTACATAGCAGATGTGTTCGCCTTGCGTACAACTGAAATGTCATCGGCTCCGCTTTTGCAAATATAGGCGAGTAGAGAAGTGACCCGACATGAGCTAAATCATCTGAGGCCTGTGGAAGTGAACGCTCGAAGGGATACGAAGACTATTTATTTGGCTGATTGTTTTTTTTTTTGTTTGCAAAGCAGGATGACAGCCTTGTTTGTCCTTCGAGTTCTATTATTAAAACGACTTGTTGGATTGGATTGAAGTAAAAACAGGTCCACACAGCTTGCAGCGAGCTGTGGCCTTTAGCTCTGAATTAGGATTGTTACCAATACAGACGATGTCTTTGAAGGAAAATAACCAAATTAACTTGTAAAAAAAAAAAAAAAAGTCAGTGTCTCCTTTTTTAAAAAAGAAATCAAATTTAAAACGGTGTATTCCGAGTAAATCGATCAACGGCCCTGATTTTGGTTGCTCTGTGTTTGCGGTGGAAAGTAGCAATGGATTGAGAAAAAGTCCACAGAAAGTGCCTTTCCTCTTGATGGTGCTGTCAATTGAAAGATGAAATGTAAAAGAAAAAGAATCTCCTTTTCAAGAACACAACGCAGGAGTGTCTGCATCTTACACACACGCACTGTACATGTTAGTGTTTTTAGAGATGGCGATGCAATCTCGTGTATTTGGACATTAAGCCTATGTAGAGACAATATTATGCCAAGTATATGGTTGTGGTTGAGCTTTCGCTTATAGTGCATTTTAGTGTCTTGGACCAATGGTGTCGTTGGTACAGTGGAATGTGTGTTGGTGTGGGTGGGGGGGTCACACTAGCGTGGCGTGACGCAGCCCGGCCCATGAATGACAAACATAGCACAGCACTTTATAGAGACTGCCACTCTCACTATAGACGCATAGCCAAGAGTTTTCAATCTCCACTCCCTCCAGTCCCCCTTCTTCCTCCCGCTCGGGGAGGAGGAGGAGCGGATCCAGACCTCAGTGTACATGAGGAGTCGAAGGGATGCGTGTGTGTGTGTTCAGCAGTCGGTCATTAAAAGTGTGCCTCATGCTCTTGTGACTTTGTTGTTGGCTCGGTTTAGTCAGCCTGCTCTGGTGAGGTGGTTTTCCCTCTGGAACAGCCACTCGACACTGTTACGACCACAGGGCTGGGTGTCAAACAAATATCAGCGCCTCACAAAGTTTTGGCGTCAACATTTTTAAAAAGTTCAGAGAATGAACAGGTCCAGAACTTTTTACGGTAGATGTTTTGCACTGAGGAATCAAGGTTTTCTTATTGAAGGGCATTTTTATTAAGGAAGAGCAACAGACGCAGGATTTAAATCTGTTAGGAAAAAAGCGCGAATGACCGAAAACAAGTTTCATTTTTTTAAAGAGAAATCCACAGAACCGGTGTCAGTATTGAAACTCTCCTCTCGATGCCCAGCCCTGGTAACAGCCCGTGGCATTCTGTCATCTCAGTGCAATGCCCTGCCATGTATCCTGCCCCTGACGGAGGGAACCTGTGCCGTGTGTCGACTGAAAACCGACGGTGGTCTGTAGTTCTGTGGGAACCTTTTCAGTCCAGGGGGGTGAAATCTTTCTATTACAAGATATCTCAAATAAAAAAAACAAAACACTGCACCTCACTTACCTTGGTATGCTGCATATGTTATACTACATGAAAGAAAAACTGCAAATTGCTTTTATTATGACATATAATGCTTGAGTAATGCCTGATTGCGATATTCTTATACGGTAACTATTTTAGAGTCAAACTAAGTATAACTGTAAAAAAAATATTCTGTTTTTGTCTTAACACTTATCCAATTTTGAAAAATTGTTCTTTGAGCCGACTTTTATTTTGTTGTCCTATTTAAATGTGTTGTTCTTTAAAATATATATATGAAATATATATATATATATATATATATAAATGCGGAATATTTTATGGTGTATTTATTGACAGTGCGTTTTAAAGCGGCTGGAGTCTCCGCATCATATTGCAGCATGGTGGGGGCGGAGCCAGGAGGATGAGGCCTTTAGCCCCTCCCCCTCCATGTTGGCGCCTTATCCTCCTCAACACGTAAGCACAACAATATGGAGGGGGAGGAGAAGCAGGAGGTGGATGTGACGAAAAGAAATCGAGCTGTGGTTGAGTCTCTCCCTCCTCCTCCTTTTTCTAAATATTCTTCCCCCTCCTTCTTCTTCTACCACCACCCGAGAAGGTTGAATGCCAACCCCCCCCCCCCACATGTTGCCGCTCATCTCTGATGATGAAGGGAACCATTTCTGAACCACACTGACTTTGAGTGTTGAGACGCTGACTCTTTTGTTTTCCTCCTTTCATCCCAAGCTGCTAGCTGGTGTGTTTGCCATGTCGGATGCCCGAGCCAGTACAAGGGCAGGTGGGACAGCGTGAAAAGAAACTGGGGGTGGGGGAGGAAGGACATTTAGAAACTTCTAGAAAAGGCGGAATTCTTACGGATTATGGTGATAATGTTTTTTTTGTTTTTGCGTAGGCGTTGTTTCTTTCCTCTCAAATCGTCTCCTCGTTTAGTTTTTTCCTGTGCCAGAACATTTTACAGCACGAACAGGTCTCATTCCACGAGAAATGACACACCTCAGCCTTACGTGCGTTCTTTCTTAATCGTCATATTTCTGTGTTACTTCGTCGCGTGCAGGCCCACTGACAAAACAAGCCTGACCCCCCCCACCCCCCTAACCGGCGTCCTCATCACTTCTCATGAAAACCACTAAACGTTACAGTGAACTCTGAAGTGTCTGAAGCCTTTTTGGAAATCCGCTCTGTCCCACTCGTAATGATGTCAGAACAGAAGCAGGTCGGAGTCAAACGTATTTGGAAACGATTCTTGGAATTTGTTTCGTCAACATAAACGTTCTGAATGACTTGAAAACATGTGATAATATGACTTTTCTACACTTTTCATGTGCTGTTGTAAACTTATCGGGTTTTCTGCAAATCCAAAGAACGGTATTTTCAGATAGTTTGACCCGGGCCTGACAGGAACCTGGGGGTGGGGGGGGGCGTCCCCAGTGTGCTGGATTACAGAGACCTGTGCCTGTATAATGAACCAAGGATGAATTGTGTTGTGATGAATTGCTGTTCTTTACTTTTTCTTTTCTCTTTCTTTTCTTTTTCTTTCCTGTTGGTCGTCCCTCGCCCCATCGGAGGATCAGAGACATGGACATTTTGAGTGTTGTCAGTCCTGTTCCAAAGCAAACAGGCCCTTTGCCCCATTTAAGCCAAACACATTTGGGTGCATAAATGTTCACGGTCATGTTTACTCCCATGGTGATCAGACATTTAACCCGTTTTCATCCCATCAGCATTCCAGTAACAAGTACGAACCAAATACTGCAGAAGAGATTAGGCTCCTGACGCTGCTTTGTTTTCCCTCGTGTCCACAAAATGGTTTTGAAGACAGATACTTGACAGTGGCCAAGGATTTTCTGTGCACGCTGATTGTCATATTATTTCTTTTGTCAATGTAGCATCACTCTTGTGTCAGTCTTATTTCAAAATAAAGATCTTAGGCTCTGATACGTCTGAGTGAGGCACCAGCAAACTGACGTGTTCACGCCGAACAGCGAACCTTCACCACCGGATGATCCATGTCTCGGTCCATGTCAGCCCATGTTGCAGCAGCTCTGTTGTACCAACAGCTCGATTCCTCTCAGTTTTAAATGTCTTTCTTTTGTAACGCTCTCTTACAGGATGTTGGCCTTTTAGTGTTGCTTTGCTTCAGTTTGAAGTGTATCTTTGACTAATACTTGCAATAAAATGCTTTGCTTTACCCTCGTTGTCTCGGTGAGATCATGTTGAAATAAGGACAAGTAACCACTTTTGAAAACCTACAGCGTTCCAGCAGAAAAGTTAAAGCTTCGAAATAAAGGATTCATTTAGGCACAGTTGTCACGGTTTCATGAAATCATGACGTATAATGTTATCTGACACATGGTTTTCCCACATTAAGCACTTTATATATTTAACGGTAAATAATACAATATGTGAAAAATTGGTTTTCAACCTGTGATTTTTCTACCATATGACCATAGATTATGTTTTTATCTATATAAGATTCAGGTCATCTATAGATATTCTCATAGGATGCAGAGATTAGAGAGTTTCTCGCAACTTTATGTGCAGTTAACTTGAAAAATGTGTATTTCAGATCGTATTTGTTGATGTGGCTTTATTTAGCTGCATAGATTAATCATCTGGAGATAAAATCCTGTGAGTAATGTTACCGGCAAGTTTGGTGAAAAATAGTTTACACACACACACGCAACTGGGAAAAACAGCCACAGCGCAGAGTAATGTGACACATCCAGTAGCTTTTTATTTGAATTTGGTGAAAGTGGCTTTACCTGCTATGTTTGTTTCTTAATATAATGGTTTATAAAATCAGGTATACATTGTTTTCCTTTTAGAAATGATTGATTAAATACTCAACTAAATTAGCCCCTAATTGCTGCAGCAAATTGCACACTCATGAATATTAATCTCATAAATACATCTCATATTATTCTTCGGGAAATATGTGAAATGTAAAAGAAAACACCTCATGATTTTAATAGTAAATAACTGGATGAGACACCTTTCTTTGGATTTGCGAAAACAAAACTCCGAGGATTTCTTTTTATATTTGTGTAAATTGATAATTTTTGAGTTTTAGACTATTTTGTATATATAAAAAACTTTATATAAAAGATTAACTTAATAAGTGAATTTTCACATTTGTATTCAGGTGCAGTCTTTCAGAGTCACAGTTTGAAAAGTCTGTTTGCCAAATGAATGGACTGTCAGAAATAGCATGAAACATATTTCACAATATAATAAAAATGTGGAATTACAATGTAGGTCAGCCCCCAGTCTTTCAGTCTCAATTCAAAATAGTTTGTTATAAAAACACAAATAGGACGAGTTTCATCTTATCAAACGTTCCAGTTGGATCTGAATTCATCCTGTTTTTATATTTTTGGTGAAAGTGTTTCTGGAACAGACCAGGACGCAGCAGCAGCAGCAGCAGCAGCAGCTCGGTGGAATGAGAGAACAGGAACAAACAGCGAGCACAGAGAGACGGATGCTCTGTGAGAAACCAGAAGCTCTGCAGGGAGGGACTCAGCTCTGATTATGTTCACATCCTAACTGTCAGACGCAGCTCAGCACTCAGCTGCACCCACCGACAAAATGATGATGTTCAGTTCTGCACAGCATTTAAATAAAGCGGAGTCACACACCGTCCTCCGCGGGCCTAAATGCAGCTGCCACACTGTCTCACTCACTGATCACTCATTTTGACGCAGAGGCGCTGTGATAAAACCCACTGTTCGAATCTGAACCACATGAGGCCCAGACATTTTATGAGAGAGTCAATTCTAGACAGGAGTGTTCACAGGGAGTTTAGGGCCCCGGGCAAAAGGAACCTGGTGGGTGGGTGGGGCTACACTGAGCCATATCATATCATTGTTCTCATCGTCAAAATGATCTTTTATAATCAAAATAAAATGATGCAGGTTCATAAATAACAGCAAAGTATTAAAACCTCCACCATCATCACCGCCACATAGAACACACACACTCAGACGTCGTTAGTCCAAGGAAACAACAAGTCATCATGGTCATCTGCAGAAACGACATGGAAACACCTCGAATAAAACTTAAAGCAGTGTTAATTTCTTTGTGGCCACTTTGAGGAAACTGAACAAGCTGTAAACACAAATCTCACAGGCTAACATCTCTGGTTATATTTAAGAAAAGTGAGAAAACTGGGTATTTGTATGCGAGTGACTCGAACATTAGAGTTATGGGCAGTGAAACGAAAACAACGAGCTGAAAAATGCTAATACACCCCACAGAAAATAATTAAAATAATTAATTATGAATTATGAAATATTTCATATTGCATCACTGTTTCAGCAGTTTTGTTACGTGCACGCTGCAACAAATCGTCATTACATGTCATTGATTTACACATCAGATAAAATAACTGTAAATATTTGAATCTGTCTGGTAAAGTTTTCTTTCTCAGGTTTTATGAAATCATTTGAACATTTATAAGAATTTACAAACCATTGTCTCCAAAATATGAGGAAAGTAAAAATGACTATCAAATGTTGCTGTTTTTCATTGTAATGATTCAACAAGGCTGCACTCTGTTGAATAATTATTGTTGAAGTATCTCTTCAAAGTTCTTTCAGGCCGTGTTGGTGAGGATCGTGTTTGTCTGAGAATCTTTCCCTCGCCACGTCGCACAAATTTGCAAAGTCAACTATTGCGACGGCATTTCAAGCTTCCCAACGCTTCATCATAATTAGCCAAGCAGCTACATAACCGGCTCTAATTAAAACAAACACCAACCTACAGTATACGTCGGCTTTAATCCAGGTCTTAATCACCGGTTTAATAAATGAGTTTACAAAGTAAGTGAATGCACAGAGCTGCGGAGCGCAGGTGTCCCTCATTCACACGATTAGAGGAAGGAAACAGAAAAAGTCAAACTCTTTCTTTCTTTTAGTCCTTTCATTAAAAGTTTGATTTGGCTGAAATATTTATTTCCCACAATTAACACGAAACACAACGATGCACACGTGGTTTTATTGTCTTTCCTTTGCTCATTTGCTCTTTTTGTATTTCTCCCTTCTTGCCTCTCGGCCTCGTCTCTGCAGGTTTCTCTGATTAGCTGACGATGATGAGCTGCATGTGAAACACCTTGACCTGCTGCTATAAAAGGAGGCGCGCGTGGGGAGAAGGAAATGTCGCGTGCAGCTCAAGGATGTGTGTGATTGTGTTTGTTTCACCATGT